TATATATCATGTAAATTTTTTAAATGCAAAATTAAAATCCACCATCTCTGTAGAATAAAGTAATTTTCATGCAGCTTTAGAATTTTTCATGAAAAAATGTGTTGGCTAATATTTTAATGACTTTTTTTCCTATGTGAGGCATCTTCCTGTAAACATCGGTAACTAGAAGAAAAATTACTTGGGAAGCTTTCAGTTTACTTCCAAAATATCTTCCTTCTTATGGTTGAGATCACTTCTTTCTTCATCTGTAGAAGACAAACAGTGGGCAGGGTGAGAGGTGATGGGAAAATGACAATTTGTCATTAACTTCTAATTCCTGTTTTTATTTCTAAGCCTAAGATACTGGTCTAATGGATAAGTGCTCAGTGTGATTTCTGATTAAGGGAACAGAACTTTCTAAATGGTTCTGTATTCATGCATCTTTAAAAAACAACAATTAAAAAAAATACCAACAAACAATAAAACAGATATTGAAGGGGAGAAGTATAACAGTTGAAGTCAGACTGTTGTCTACTGGGACCTTTAGCAGATCTGCTTATTCTCTGTATAAATGACGTGTTTAGTACTTCACTGTTTCACATAATGTTTTCTTGAATGATCTGAAAGAGGAAGTAGAAAGCATATTAATTACATCTGCAGATGATATGAAGCTAGAGAGTTACAGCAGCTGGAAAAATGGCAAGAAATATGAATTGGTCTAGAGAACAGCAGTGTACGGGAATTTACAAAATGAGGCTTACCTTGCAAAAGTGATCCAAATCTTAGACATGTTATATGTGAAATTAGCTTACTGAAGTGTTAATGTTGAGCTTTCACTCATGCAGTAAGCAAGATGTATTTATCTTGATATTTCACCCAGTTAACTGTTTCTTACATTATCCTGATTTTTAACTATTTCTACCGAATCTTCCTAGATTTGGTTCCAGTTTCACTACTGCGGTTTTGGTGATGAAGGACAATTAACTGGGCTATTTCTTGGTTTAATTTCAACACCAAACTGAACAATATGTGGAAAAACTAATGTCTCCCTTTTTATGATCCACCCCCCATTCAATTTTAATAGAATTTTGCCTTAATCAGTGCTGCAAATTACATGTCCGCCCGAAGTTCAGAATCCTTGGATCTAAAATTGTAATGCTTTGTGCAACTGCTCCTTTACCAGTTTGCTTTCCAGTTTGGGTTGCCGACAGGACTCCAGACCAAAACTGTCCTGAGATTTTGTTTTCTTTATGTTGTTTTACAAATGGCTTGTGCTTTGCCTCGATGCTTTGGAAATGAAATGGATCTGGCCTCCTTTATGGCTTATCAGTCTCTCGGCACTGGGCTCTTTACAGCGGCGAATGCCAATCACTTGTAATTTGCTCAGATAACAATGTTACTATTGTTAGTGCTAACATTTCTGTTTGTTAAATAGGTGGCGTAATAGCTCATTGTAACAAATAATTTCATGTTGAAGAACCAGCCTAAGAAGGCTTTTTGGTACACTTTGTATAATATTTTCTGTGAAGGAGGCAAAACAAAACTGCATACCTGGTATCACATTCCTTTCAGCTTAATTAGGACTGTATCTAAATGTCCCATGTTTTTCTACACTGAGGTGCTGGAGATAGCTGCAATGTAACCTGGATAATTTGTTCCTACAACTATCCTAAATTAAAATTAGATGACTGGTGTAGGGGGGAAAAGATACCCGATACTTGTTTTGTAGAAGCCTATGATTTCTAATTTTTTTTTTTTTTTCAGTTGATGTGTGAGCACCTCCCTAATAAATTTAAGCCTCTTGGTGTTGGGATCCCTACTTTTTGTGATCCTCCTAGAAATGGCCCACAGATCCCAGTGTATAAGACACAGAAAGCAGTACGGTGAAGTTTAAGAAAGTAGGTAGTATTCAATTGCTTTGTGTAAAGACTGAATTAAAGACTAACTGTTACTGTGTTGGACTTTGAAATGAACACCTAAAAAGGTGACCAACCAAATTCATTGTGTCCCTGTAGCAGTGTGGCAAATCTGCCCAGCATCTCCTTTCTGTTGGCTCACACCTTGGCAGAGACTCAGAAGGCTGGCATGCATTTCTTGCTCCGCTCTTTGCGGTGTGACCTATCCCCCTCTCTGTTTTGAGAATTCATCAAAAAAAGTAGCATACCCAAAAGCCTGGTTTGATTTCTTTCAGTGTATCAGCTTTTGTTAAAAGAAGGGCATTGTTTTTTCTTACAGATTTTCAGAAATCCTTTCATGGCAGAGGTCCATGAAGTTGAGGATGTATTTTGCAGTTTCAAAACTCCATGTTGCACTAGCAATATTGGATTATGTGATACATTTAAGTAAGAGGCTGAACTGCTGTTTGTTTACAATTGCCCTTGAAATGTCTGCTGTGTGTATGGCATGATTTTGGTTGTGAGTGCAACCAGGCTTTCAGCTGAAATCTGTTGTTATTCACTTTAACCTGTTTCAGGATTACTCATATTTTATTCTTTCGTGCTAAATAAACTGTAATTTGGACAATGCTTGTTTGTCCTGATTAAACATATTTGCCTATACCTTATCTCAGTTGATTATATTAAAAACATAAGACAAAAAGATCTACTCCTCTTGCTATTTCCTACACAGTATAAGTAGAAGATTGTGTTGCAATTTATCTGTGCTACTGTGCTTCTTTATCTCTGCAGCTAGTATCCAAGTGTGGCATGAATTCTTTATCCATATAGCATGGTGGTGCCTTGCAAGTGATGAAAAACAGTTTCCTCTACACAAATGTCCATCTTTGTTAATGCTGTCAAACAGCAAGTGTAATATCCAGGGAATACACGTCAGTCTGGGAGTTACAGATAATGTAATCTAATTTCCCAAAATAAATTAAACGTATCTTTTCATCTGTAGCCATCAGATGTATGTAAGGAAAGTAAAACAATATGTTAGAGATAGTACATGTGAATTTGGAAAAAAGATCTGTGACTAATTTGAAATTAAACCTTTGGGTTTGCCGCATTTCTGATAAATTAACCTTCTGAAGAAGCTTGTGATGGTATTGTGTTGTTGCAGAGACTTCCACAAATAAAACATCTAAGTTGAAGGACTGTTGTTTGTTTCAAACAATGCCTTTAAAATCTTTATGAGCCATTTTTACAAGGCCTTTTTCAGCAAAACCTTATGTATAGTAGTAGTAAATTTCACTTTTTAAAAAGTGTTAACAAACGCCACACTTTTTTTTCATTAATGTCTTTTATTTAGTTATTTTCCACGTCCTCCTACGTAAAATAAACGTATGTCAGGAGAAAAATTAATGTAATGGATTTCTAATTTTAATTGGTGAGGTGCCACAATACAGACTGAACTCTTCCCTAGCACATTACGTTTATACCTTTTAAGATGTTATTCATAGAATCATACAGAAGGTTTAGGTCGGAAGGGACCTTAAAGCCCACCCAGTCCCACCCCCTGCCCCGGGCAGGGCCCCCTTCCCCCAGCCCAGGGTGCTCCCAGCCCCGTCCAACCTGGCCTTGAACCCTTCCAGGGAGGGGGCAGCCACAGCTGCTCTGGGCACCCTGGGCCAGCGCCTCACCCCCCGCACAGGGAGGAATTTCTGCCTTATATATAACCTAAACCTACTCTCTTTCAGGTTAAACCCATCCCTCCCTCGTCCCATCCCCACACCCCCTGACGCAGAGTCCCCCCCCCCTCTCCTGCCCCCCCTTTAAGCCCTGGGAGGCCACTCTCAGGGTCCCCCCGGAGCCTTCTCTTCTCCAGGCTGAACCCCCCAACTCTCTCAGCCCGGCCCCCCAGGGGAGCTGCTCCAGCCCCCCCAGCATCTCCGTGGCCTCCTCTGGCCCCGCTCGAGCAGCTCCGGGTCCTTCTGCTGTTGGGGGCCCCCGAGCTGGCCCCAGCACTGCAGGGGGGTCTCCCCAGAGCGGAGCAGAGGGGGAGAATCCCCTCCCTGGCCCTGCTGCCCCCCCTGCTCTGGCTGCAGCCCAGGGCACGGGTGGGTTCTGGGCTGCCAGCGCACGGGGCTGCCTCACGGGCAGTTTTCCCCCCCCCAGCACCCCCAGCCCCTCTCCTCGGGGCTGCTCTCCAGCCGCTCCTCGAGGGCCCAGCCTGGGTCTGTGCTGGGGATTGCCCCGACCCACGGGCAGGACCTTGCCCTTGGCCTTGTTGAACCCCATGAGGTTTCCACGGTCCCCCCGCTCCAGCCTGCCCAGGCCCCTCTGGGTGCCATCCCTGCCCTCCAGCATGTATTATTGCTGTGTATTGAAGTTGAAAAGATGAGTAATAAAGTAATTAATATAATAGAAAGAACAGTTTTCTTTTGTTTCTGCCAGGCCAGGCAGAAAAAAATCTCTTCAGACCTCTTGTTTATCCTTGCTGAAGAGATACAACTATTTATTATAGATCCTGTCCTTTGTTCTCATTGAATTACTGAGGCTACCTATTTAATTGAAGGACTGCTTTTGTTAAGAACTTGCTGTCTGAGCCATGAAGGGGAAAACTTGTGAACTAGTAATTAATGTTAATTTGTTTTACCAGTAACGTTTATGTGGTTGCATTGCTGCTGTGGATATCAGAATTGGACAGATTGCAAGAACATGTTAGAACTGTTTTCATTTCATGTCATTTGGAATTACATCAAAAATGCCTTTTATATAAAACCTGTGGTTTCACCTTTATACTACTGACCACCTCTGATCTGTACAAGGGCAGGTCGTTGCTATATCATGTTACACTTGCTGCATGGCATCGTTTTTCCCATCCATTAGAAAGTATGTCAGTGCTTATGTCCTGTGCCTGTTGAATGGCAGATGACCATTAAGATGTATTAGCTGCATAAATAATTGGCTTGTAGATTAATTCACATATTCCACTGTTGTTCTTGTGAGAAATTTATTGTATCACTTTGAACTGGAAGACTGTAAGGTATTTGTCATGCTTATGAAGTATGTATTCAAGTTGATCGGAGTTTTTTTTTTTCTAGTACAGATGGAGCAACTCATTCTTTCCTTATGTTCTAGTTTAGACTTGGATCTCTAAAGCTACAGGAAGTTTCGAGTCCAGCAGAGGTGGTTAAGGAGCTGATTGGTTACTGTCTGGACAGCCTGGAAAGACTACAGGAGAAAAATGAGCATCTGCAAAAAGAAAATGAAAGGCTTTTCAGCAACTGGAGTGACGTGGAGAAACGGTAAGTTTAAAAGTTCATTCACAGTTGATACTTGATAAACTCACAAATACACTGTCAGCGCAGGCTTTACTGATGAGCAGTTTTGAAGTCATATACAGAAAGGATCACATGAGTTTTTCTTCTCTTGACAAGTGTTTTGAGCCCTGTTATCTACAGCCCCATGTAGTTGTGGATCGCCTTCCTATGTCAAAGATACAACTGGTGTTACGTTTTAACTTCATGAAGTAGAAAAAAAACTTACCTGTTTTCTGTAGAATCCTCTCTTTCTTCAGGAAGCCTTTTCCGTTCCATTATTTCCTATAATTCTTAGGACTGGCGGTTTGAATTATTTATATTTTTGATTGGGAAATAAGTTGCCATTGCTTTAATATGTTTGTCTTGTCACAGCAGCCAGAATGGGAAATTGTGTGTTGTTAGAGGAAAAAGTACTATTATTTTACAAGAGATTTTTAGAATTGCCATTGCATTTCTGGTCTGAAATGTCTGCCCTCTGTAGTGAAGTAATCCATACTTATTTCAGTTAGCATAAAATGCTTAGCACATACAAGTCAGAGATTAATCTGTTTTTACTATAGATTTATCTGAAAAAAACACATTTAGGAAGATTGATGAAAGAATGTAGCTAATTGGTGTTAATTTACCTTGAAAAAGGGAGCTAACTTTTGGGAGGAGTTAGTTTTGTTTCGCTCTCATTAAAATGAGTAACAGTTTCTCCTGACAATCTCCCTGACAAGCGTATGGCCTTCCTAAGTAGTGTTTTACTGCTTAACAGTTTGCTGAACAATAGTGTATTGTATAACCAGTATGCTGTACTGCATTACACACTAATGTGTAATAGGCATTAGTGCTTGTATCAATTTCCATGGTGGTGTGGCACTTTTAAAGAGTAACCCCAAAGGAAAAAAAATAATCACAGTTGCCTGACAGCCTTTGCTCTTGGAAGCAGTGTATTGAAGCTTCAAAAGCTGGTGGCTTTCTTTTGTATGTTTATATTTTGAATAGCTGAAACATGATTTTTCAAAATAAATACTGAAAGTTGTATGGTCACCAAACTTTGATCATGTCCACTAAATGGAGAATAAAAATAATTTTCATCCAAACAGTGTTGTTGTTTTGTTTTGGTTTTGTTTGTTTGTTTGTTTTTTAATTCTTTTGGCCACAGCCTAGTCTACCCCGCTGTCTGTCTTTGCTCTTTTGGCTCCAAATGCTGGACCTAGTGTTGTGAATTTCTTGGAGCTGAACAAAAGCTTTGCCTGTCTTTGTTCAGTAGACAGGATTTCATGCTTCACATTCTGTATCACTCACAGTGTTGAGTGGTAAAACATCAAATATAAAGCACATGATGTGGAGAATTGTGCTTCCTCTTTGCCTGGAGCTAAGGCATATCAGCTCCAGAATTTCAGCCCCTGAAGTTCCCTTTGCTTAAAATCTCTCTCTTCAGGACCTCATTAGAATTAAAACATAGCATACAAACTTTCAAGAGCTGTGTTTGTTCATTATAAGCATGGGGCACTGGATGAAATAATTCAATCATCCCATTTTCATTTCCCTACTCTAATTTTCTTGACCATCATGAAGACTTTGTGAGCTCAGCTCAACAGCTTAGCCCTGTAACTCTCTGGGGTCTCTTGAGATGTAAACTTGCTCTCTGTTCGGTCTGTCAAATGGCAAGCAAGTTTCATACAGGAGGCTAAATCTGCCCAGTGAGCAATCTGTAGGCTGAATATCAACGCTGATCTGCTGCTGGCAATTGCCTCAATGTACATGAGATAATCTGCTCAGCTGGAAACAGCTTGCTTCTGGCAGCCCTGTGCCAGGTACAGAAATGGCTCCTGCTGCTCCTCTCTGCAATTCAGGTTCATGTAAAGGCAAAAGGCCAAAAATACCTTTGAAAATAAATCCCCTGCATGATCAAATTGTTAATCACTTATGCACGCTAGTCTAAGCTGTATAGCATCTGAGGTGTTGAGAGTGTTTCTTGGTGAAGCAGTCACTATCTTAATTTTCATCCTCTTGCGTATTGTGATGAGCTAAGTGTAGGATTTTGCCTGGGTGAATATTTCCCTGCTTTTAGGAAATTACCTACATGTAGGTGACATCAGTATGAGAGTTACTGGCTAGCTAGACCATTCAGCACTTGATCTAAAAACATAAAGTAAAAATTACTAAGACACTATCTGGTAAGATCCCAATAGAGAGGCTGCAGAAATTTTCAAAAGGATTATTCTGAAAGTGCTGCGAGTGGGTGCCTTGGGGCAAGTGTGTGTGTGTGCACACCTCAGGAATGGATGAGTTAAAATATCAGAGCAGAATAGCTATTGGTTTTATTTCATATAAGTAACTAAGATGGCAAATGTAAAATAGTAATATGTAGCAAAAGGATTCCTTGGCCAGTAAAACACAAATTAAATTTATGATTTGGGTGTGGCATGTATTTTGTATCAAAAATCTAAAATTAGTGTAGGCGAGCCAAAATCAAGATAGCTGCTAATTTATGTTGTGGTCAACTACAGTGACAGTATATTTAAACCACAAACACCTTATAAAAATTCAGGCTAGGTAGTTTGGTGCTTCTGACTCTTTAGCATTAGCTCATCAAGATTCAATACCATTGCCAATGTTGGGGGAAGGGTGAAATGTAAAGAGTGGTGTTGTAAGACCAGTAATTATTTTAGAGCGCTGAGGATAAGGATAAATAGCAAAGATGCTGAATTTTTTCTTTCTAGTATTGGAGTGTGGAAAATGTGTAAATGCCATTAAGTTATATAGTTCATGTTAACCTCAGTGAAGCATGTGTGATTGCCCTACATTTAGGCAGCACTTAAGAACTGGACAGTTACCTTATTTTCTCAACTACTAATCATAATCAATCCTAATACTAGCTGATTTCAGTAGGGCATGCAAGCTTTTTGATGGCTGTCAACTTAGGTGTGTCTGGCACATTAAAGGCATTGCACTTACATAAAAGAGACCTAAGAATATGAAAATTGAAAAGCACGTGCAAATAAGACTTGCAACACTCTAGCTATTAACTTCAGCTTATTTTCACTGTACTTGAAAGTTGTCTTTGAGATGAGCAGCTTCTTTATTTGGCCTGGGGAAAAGGCATTTTAGTGAGACAAATCACATACAGGCACAAGCATGTGACAAATTGCAATTACAGTTTGTATTTGTGACCGATGAGCTATTGGAATGAAACCGAGCCAGCTTTGCTTGGTGGTCACGTAATTCAGGTAATGCATGCCTGAGTGGATCCTAAAGGTTATGCAGAGTTACAGCCAGAGCCACCCCATGCACACGTATGTTCTGCATAACTAATGTGTCCCTGTTCCCAATCTGTTACTTTTTACTAATCTGGTTTTGAGTATCATCATATGCCATATAATAGTATCTTTCTAAAGGGTCATAACTTGCCAATATAGCATTAATGTAATACTGTTTTACACTGCTTGAATGCTATGCCAGATCAATGTCATATCAATATCTGGAGAATGAATTTACATATAGATTAACTTAAACAACAGGAAAAAAAAAAAAAAAAGTTCACATAAATGAAAACAATCATGTAATATTAACTGATGGCATCTTATTAGTTAATATTCCCTACAGAGAAGGGTTAATATTCTAATCTATGCATATGGTCTGTATGTATATTTTGATTTGTTAATATTTTGCTCATGAGGCTGAAAAAATTGACTTAGTCTTGCAGTAGGTTCCTATACTGTGCTTCTTAATGTCCAGGCAGCATCAATTTTACCTCATTGAGAATGTACAGTTATGTGGGTTTTCACCAGTGGATGTCTGTAGGATTCAAGGGCCTTACTGAAGTTAGCTTATATGACACCTTTTTGGCCAAGTCAGCAAAATGTAAGTATTTAAACCAGCATTAGCTTCTCTGACATAAACCAGTCCATTGACAAAATAAAGGCACAGTAGTAAGCACTTTCTGTAGTTAGCATTTTCTGTGTGTAGGAGAGGGGACTTTTCTACAGGATTTGATACAAACGGGATTATGATATGTTACACAAAATCCTTGTTTGCCATTTTTATGTACGCAGATATAATTAGTTTCAAGCATGTCAATGGCAATTAATCCAACAGCTATTTTTTTGCTGTTTTGTTTATTTTTTTTTTTAATCTTTTGATTAATGGCTGAATTCTACTTGATAAGTGGAAGGCAATTCCTATCCTTACCTTTCTCATTCCATGCACTAGTCAAGGCACTTCTGGAACCTGTGTTAGGGTTTATGATTAATGTGAATTGTCTGTTTGTTCATCACTAAACAGTTAACTTTCCTTCTTTAGATGGAAAGTCTCCTGGTAGTTGATTACTACATATAATCTTTCATTTTGGAATTATTGAACTGATCTATATGGTAATGATGTTCTGCTATTTGCATTTAAATTAGATGAATTATTTATCAACTATCAAGCATATCCCTAAAGCATTGCACAGTAGACTTAATACTTCATGAGCTTATTTTCTATTGTCTTTCTTCTTACATCATATATGTCTTTGATCTATGAACAAAATAATCAGTACATAGAAAGTCTGCTGAAATTTCTTACCTTATAAATTAATATCTTTAAAATCTGTTATGTGTTTAGGTTTAATAACATAGGAAGCCTTCTAAACTTTTTTACCAACCTTGCACAAGTTGGTGAAAAGAATGTTGTTTATAAGTTATGACTATTTGGTATAATGCTGTAGTTACCATGATCAGTGAGATTATCAGGATATTTATTTGCTTGTTATGAACACAGCTATTAAAATGTTTGTGGTTCAACCCAGGGACTAAAAAGTTAAAAAATACAAGAAGTAAACATAGGATTGCATTTGCTATAATTCACTTTGTTTATTGTGCTCATGTTTGCTTATGTTCCAGTTTTGCTTTGCTTATGAGACAGTATACATCCATATTCTTAATTTTATATTCCCATTGTGCTTCATTTTATTGACATTGACCTACCAACAGGTGCACATTAAACCTTTAAAAACCTGAAGAATATTTTACTCTGAAGATATTAAGAGCTTTTAAAACATTTTTGAGCGTTTTCTCCTTCACCAAGTAATTGTGACTGGTTCAGGGGGAAAAACAAATTAAAATCTGCCTAGTGGTGGCTGCGAGTGTACCAAGATCTCAGCTCTGTATCTGTGTAATTTGAAATGGAGTCTGCAGCACTGGACTTGTTAGCATTTTACATCTGAATGCTGGCATGGGATTACAGTTTCCATCAGGTGTTGCTGCAGTGTCCTGTTGAGCTTTGCCAGGAGCTGGTTTCTGTACCTTGCCAGCAAAACCGAACAAGACATGGAAGGCTGTTGATGGAAAATGGTCAAGCAAAGGTCTGTATCGCCCATGTCTGACAGGGGAGTCCTGGCAAGGAAGGAGATCTGGAGCTGTCCCAGCTGCCCAAAGTATTTTGTGGTTATCTCAGCCCCTGCTGAAGTGGAATTGCCTGTTGCCTGTTTCTTGTTTCTTTTTTTTTTTTTTTTTTTTTTTTTTTTTTATTTCCTGTTCAAATATATTTCAAGTCAGAGTGTGTGGTCCAGATTTGGGACCTGTCAAGCTTAATCATATCTATTTGTAATCTCATTGTGTGTATCCTGCTAAGGTATTCCCACTATGGTGAAGTAAAGAATGCTTGCCTATTTGAATTTTAGGTGTCTCAGATCCATTTTTGCAAGAACCTATCAAAAAAAGCACGAAGAGAAAATTTTCCCCTTGGAAAATTTCCCCTTTTGGTAGCAAAGTTCATTGCACTTTTCTGTGGAAAAAAAATCTTCTGGCTTCTTTCAGACACAAGGTGCTGGATTAATCGTGTGGTTTGGTATGGGTATTCGTGTAATAGAAAGGCTGGCCTCACTACAAGATTGTCTTCCAGAAAACACAGCATTTTAAAAAGAAATAGTGTAACAGTTAATTTTACATTGTAGGCTGGAAAAATGTGTGGAAGCTAAAGAAGAACTAGAGGCAGATCTTTATAACCGGTTTATTTTGGTTCTGAATGAAAAGAAGGCAAAGATAAGAAACTTACAGAAGTTGCTGAATGAAGCTAAAGAATCTGCTGCACATGCCAAATGTACAAGGTATTTCTTAATTTTTCTGAGTTACTTGGTATCATACCTGATGCATAGTTTAGTTTAGTTTCAATTTCTTTGTCTCTAAGAGAGAGTGACAGTTCTTCCTGACTCAGTGCTTGGTTATCTAGAACAATACTGTTAGTCATGAAAGCAGAGGACTCTTTGTGGTGTCCCTGAAAATAGCAGCATATTCATTTGGATGCTGTAGCCAAGAACTAAATATTCAATGAATCTGTCCTCCTTTTTATGTTAGGTTTCAACTGATCTTCCAATCAGAGTATGTCTCTGCCATTTCCATAGGTGGTATTTTCATATTCTTCCTGAATTATTTGATTGCTTTTATCCTTTGGTAAACAAAAGTATCAAAATATAAATATTTTTATGTACTTTTATTTGGATATTTTTTAAATAAAGATGAATCATTATAATGCTATAACACACCTTAATTTGTTTGTTAGTTTTATCCTGCTTTTTATATCTTAAATTAACTTTTATTGTCTGTTCATTGTATATGAATGTGCTAAGCTGTTCAGCATGGGGACTTTATGTTGACTTGTACCAGCTTGCACTGTCTCTAAGTGCAGAAATAATTATAAATTCTTTGAAGGAATAATAGATAGCAAAGATGTGTTTATTTTTGTCTTTTCTTTTTTTTTTTTTTTTTTTTTTTTCCCCTAGGGATAATATAGCTACCACTCAGATTGCTACGGTCAGGGAAAATGACTATGATGGCAGCACTGATGAGGAAAGTGAAAATTTAACACGAGCCTCATTACCATCAGGTAAGACAGAATGTATTCTCTTTGGGGAATATCATGGACAGGCCAATCACTTTATGTGAATAAACCTTAACGAAGACAAAATACTACCTGACAAATTGCTCTGTGACAAGCCAACCTGCAAGCCTTAAAAATATCTCTTGAAGCAGCGTATAATACTGGCATTTTTGAATTAGAGAAAGGAAGTTTAAAAGCATGTTGCACAAGTGAATGTACTGTCATTTCTTCCAAAATGACAAATTACATACTTTGCACAACTAATAACAATCTAGCAGTATCTGAACCATCAGCAATTCCATTTTAAATTCTAGGAATCATGATGTGTGTGCAGTGATTGCTAAAATGTAAAATGTAGTTTCTGCCAGTTTCAGTAATATTTAAAAGGGGAAAGAAAGGAGGTTTAATGGCTATAAAAAAAAAGTGTACATAAATGGAATAAAAATGTATTTATAGAAGAATTAATTTTAACTTGTCAGTGAATTTTTGGCCTCATGAAGGTGCTCATGAAATTTAATTTGACTAATATTTTGAGGACTAGAGGCTTGTAAAGTGTGTGGGACACAGGAATTGCCCATGCTACAATACAAGATATTTAACTGTGAATCATAGAAATTTTGTCATATTTTTGCAAACTAGTAGGAATATGCAGGGCAAATGCTATGAATGTTTTAAAACTGCATTGACGCTTGCCATATAGCTGTTATAAACTTCCCCTCAGGTCTGCAAAATTTGCTATGGGTTCTCTCACCAGAGCTATGTATTTCCAACATAGGTAAAGGTAATCAAGGCAACAACATACTACAACTGTTTACTGTGCATACTGGGAACCAGAAGTGTTCCAGACCCTGATACCAGTGGTATTCAGCTTTGCAACTCATATCAGGCAGTTTGTTGAGGACTTTCTAATATAATATAAAGTAGGCAGAGCTTCATACAAATGTAGAAAGTTACAATTATGGAAAGAAATTATTTTGTATACTACTATGCTTTTAAGTTCAGAAATCTTTCTTTTCAAGTAGTATTTGGTCAGTTCAGATAATGCGCAGAGAAATACTTTACATTTAGTGAAAAGAGGAAGGAAGGGAGTGGAAAGTGTTGATTCTTTTGCTAGATTCAGTAGGACTTAATTAGCTCAGTGTGAGTTCTGAGACACACATATGTATTTTAAAATGAAAGCAACCCCCCACTGCCCTACTCTGGCAATCATGAGGGACTGGATTGATCAATGTTTCAGGAAAAAATAGCAACTGTATTTTTACTTGAGTTGTAAACAAAAGTGTGCCTTCTGTTGCCTTTGAGGGATACAATACTCAGGATTTTGATCATGACTATTACGAAGACTATAAACTTAATCCTTTGGATAGCACACTCAAGTTTTTCAAGGTAATGGCATTCTTGAACCTGCACAATGAGTATTACTTAGGTGAGTTGATACTTTTCCTATGTACACAGCTTTCTCTATCCATTAACAACAGAAAAGCACAGATAGGAGCTGAATATCTTAGTGTGGTTTAGGATTTTCACATGCAAAAATAGATCTGAAGCACTGTGTCTCTGTGAAGAAGACAGTAATTCAGGAGTGTGGCATAAGAGGATAATGAAGCTTATAGCTACATCAAGGACTGTAAGGCACAAAAGACAATACAGATAACGTTTGGACTTTTTCTGTTTATCTCTAGTTTTCCTATCTTTCAGTCCAACATTACGTTTCTTTTCCTTTTGGATTTGGAATGTCATTGTGTGCTTTGCAGGAGTCAATGAGAATTAAAGGATTTTTGAGAGTGTTTCAGCAGATACTGGTGAAAGCCACAATCAAGAAAGAAGATCATAACTGTAAAACTGCGTTAAAAGAAAGTGAAGGCAGATGTGTATATGTGTCCGTATATTAAGCGTGAATTTGTATGTGTACGTTTTCAAAATTTAAAAAGTGAGAAGCTGATGCTGGTTGTCATAAACAAAAACTAGGAAATGCAGGAGATGGGTGAAGAAAGCCACATGATATAAAAGCAGAGAATCTCAAGTGAGGAGGTAGAAAGCCAACGACCAGTCTTGAAGCCAGCTGAGAACATATATGGAGCTGTTATTGTGCAATCATAAAAAAAAGCAGTCGTAATTGAAAAAAACAGCCATGCTTAGTAAGTACTTTTGGGTTGTGTTTTTAGGGGGGAAAAACTAAGTGTGGTTGCATCATTATGTACTTCCATTCTAGCAACAAAGGGGGACGTGAAACAGCAGCTGTGAAATACAAACATTTTAAAATTAGCCAGACAGGATATTTTGAATTGCAGGGTTTAAAAAGCTGCCTGGCAGTTTTTCTTAACTACCAATAATTGTGGTTTGTTTTTTTGTTTTTTTTTTTTTCCTAAAATTTTTGGGGTACTGGGGGGGCATTCCAAAGGATTTGGAAAAAAAGCTGCTAATATTTACCAAAAGAAAAAGTAAATGAAATGGTGCATTCAGTTATAGGTGTATATAGGTGTATCAGTCTGGTGTTGATCTGATGCAAATATTGGAACAGATCTCAATGAAGTATTAAGAAAATGAGTTAGAATGGTTAATTCCAGTCTTTGTAAAGGTGCAGAAAGCAGAGGTTGAAAACTACGTGCCATAAGATATCATGTTGCACCACATTTTAATCAAGAAATTGGAACATGGAGATTAACATAACACATGATAAATAGATTCTCAAATGAGGTAATACATCTATCTCAAAATAAAAATGGAAAGTTGTCAGTCCTTGTATCTGAGGAGTGTGAAACTGAAGGTACATATAATGTATATAAAGCAATTTGCATTTTGTGATACACCAACTATAAACAGAAGGTACGCATTCTAACACAGTGCGATGCCATGATTTCCAGTCCTTTGGCAACTACGCTTCACTTGAGAAGGCCAACAATGTCTCGAGCTGTGCTTTGTCTGGCTTCTTCTGCCACATGAAGCCGGGTACCTCCGGGGGCTGCCATCATCTTCCCCACATGGACCCATCTAGCAAAGCCAAGAGCCAGTTGGACAACTTTTGCACTCTTCTCCATATTGCGCCTGTTCTGGCGTGGTGGCACTGTCCTGCATGGACTTGCAGGAAACAGGCTTGGTCTTAGTCAAGTTACTTCAGTTCATCTCCGTCTGACCTTTTACTGTTTATAACTTCCCAGTGCTACCTGCCTTACCTGATAGGGAACCACTGGTGTAGTGTAAGGATACTTTGGAAAATAAAGAACGTACAGCAAGTTCTCTGAAGCAGCAATGACTTTACTTTTTTTTTTTTTTCCTTAAATACAGACAGACATTGAGTGTGAAATTAAATAAGCAGGTGTGCACAGTTAAGGCAAAAGGGACTTTTGAGTCAATACATGATTTGGCCCCTTAATGCAGTGCCATGTCAAGTTTGGACATCAAGATTTGAAGAAACATGATAGCAAGTTGGGGATGATAAAGTTGTGGTAACAGTGGAATGTTTAGCAAATTATTTAAATGAAATGCTGAGAAGGTTCTTAAGCGATCATTGTTGTCATGGTTTAGAAGAAAATACATCGCGAAATGATGTGATGGTAAATGGTCTTTGCATCCAGCAGATATAGGTGTTTAATGAACTTGAATAACTGGAACTCAATGTTAGACAGAGACAAAAGTGGGACATTATTCCTGACAGAATAATTAACTGTTGGAACAGTTTGGAAAGGGTTATGATGGGTTCTGTCTATCACTGCCAGCGTTGAAATCATGATGGCACGCTTTTAATAAAAAGATAAGATCTTGTTCATATAAGCATGAACTTAAATGAAGTACACAACCTATATTATGTTGAGCATTGCAAATGGCTGTTACTATGACAGCTTTTCCTCTGTAACAGCAGATAAATCACAGAATAAAAGTATTTCTTCTGTCTTTTACAAAAATGAGATTACTCATGCATGAATACACAGCAAGACTATCAGGTAGGTTTTTGGCCTCTGCACAGCAGGCAGTTACATTTACTTGTTCAGCTTCAGATGAACTTTGTGTAGAGGCCTTTTCCCTGCAATAGCAGTTAAGCTGTAGCCTAAAAGTTTACCTAAAAATTTAATTCTTTGGCACTGACAGTACCATTTGTAGATATGATTTATGGTTTCCTTTTTGACAGCAGTTTCTACTTCATAGCTTGAAGCCAAAATCAACTGAAACATTGTAGTTTTTGTTTCTAATCTACACACTGATGTAGTTAATGCTTTGTATTGTAAAAGAACTAATTAAAATTGAATTAGTAGGTATTTTAGTGTAAAGCACTTAGGAAAACAACTGATATACTTGAGAAGTACAGCTTTTAGAAATGGTGCAGTTTTTTAAAACAATACTGCATGTCCTTGTATGCAAGAGCTTTGCCCATCATGCTGTAAGCATGGGGGGAAATTTACTTGACATATTGGTTTAGGATTGTGGATGTGAGATTCAAAAAGACATACAACTGCTGTTTTCACTGCAGTTTAATAAATTCTTAAGCAGAAGCTTAAGAATAAATTCTTAAGCAGATGTGCAAGGGCCTTGTAAATGCATGTGAGCTCTTGTTTGGGAGAGTTTCCGCTCTGGAAGGAGGACGGGAAGGAAATCCTCCTACTGGTAATCAGTTCTTCATGAATGGGGAGGTATGAATGTTTCTTGGGAGCCAGTGGAGATTGCTTTTGGTTTGTTTCGTTATTTGTTTTATTCCAGGGTTGCTAAGATTTTAGCTGAGCCACCAAAACCAGATATAGTTGTTGCTTTCACTACTGGTACTTCCAACAAAGTTCCAGCAACTTTGCAGGTGCCTCACACTTGAAACTGCTGATGTGCTGCCTCATCGTTTCACTCCTCCCTCACATGTTGCATCTAGTCTTGTGCTTCAACTCTTTAATCAAGTATCTTATCTTTTGTTTAGCTTGAATGGTCTCTAGCACTGTTAGGGTCATCATTTTTGGTTGGGACTTCTAGGTTTTATGACAGTAGAAAGAATGATACACATGCACAGATGAAAAGCACCTGGAGCA